AATTTGCTAGAGTCTCCAGGATGCCATGATGTTGTGCAGTTCTATTAACTTAAAATCCAATTCCCTGGTGTACATTTCGCGTTTGATTGTTTTGTGACAGAACAGGCACACTGCCGTTACTTAAAGACTCAAAATGGTCTGAAAATGATAACAGATTATCGATTGAAATCCAACCTGAATCATAGTTTTATTATAGACCGGAGCGAGATTGCCAGACACATCCTTTTTAAAGTAAATCGTAACTTAGTAGAATTCCCGTGTTTAAAAGCCATGCGGACCTCGTAAGCAAATCGGATGTCGGAATGCGTTATCAAAACATTAGGAAATTTAACGTCATTTTTGATACAGCACAGTCTTTTTGGGCATAATGCACACTCGGAAGATCAAGGCTGGTCCGTTTTAACAGCAATTTTGCGTTAAAATTGGGGTTTCCCTCAACCTAATTCAAGCATTGTAAAATGACACTCGTACAATGTACCTTGCGAGGATAGCTATTTAATTTAACCTCATTTGCATTAAATAACAGCCTATTGTCGGAAAACAATTATTAGAATAACTGCTTTGCCCACAGAAATCAAGTTAAGACTTTGTGATTTTCTCAAGACATTTTCATTACAGCTCTTTTCTTTAAGATTGCCTCTCTCAGACCCTTTCCTGTGCACGGGGGACCAATTACCAATGAAGTAAAAAATTAAAGGGGACTGATTGATGGGACTTGACGTATAGCTATCATTTTAGGAAATCTCACAAGACAAACTATTTAAGAATGTCATCTTATCCTTATGCAGCGACACAAGTGTATTACCGTTGATAAAGAAACGTGTAGATGACAAAATGAATTTTAAAAAAAGAAAGAAAGACAAAAAATGGCACAGACGGGATGGAGATTCTCTTCATCCTGAAATTCTATTAGGTAATCTTATCAATTCCTTTGCCTGTCTCCCACTCAGGGAGTAGAATTTGATTAAAGTGAACCATCGGCTGCGGAAATAACAAAATAAACTTTGTTAGAAGTGATCTGATCAGTGACATTTCAAGATTATCAAATGGTTTGCATCAGGGGAAGCAAGACGATTTCAACTTGTTTGGTGTGAAGGCCTAATTCTATCAGCACCATCGGATTGGTATGATTCAAAGTGAAGTTGACATTTTATAGAAAACCCTGGCAACTGATGTCCTCATGGGAAAAATCGACATTTTTACCAATGCGGCTAGCTGGATTTCATTTTCTTTTCTTTTAAGATTTAAAAATCCCTGTTACACAGGCCTTACGACCACTTAGCTAACACATTTTTGTTCACTCTCACCCCTTTCAAAGCTGTGACATTGGCAATATTTGATAGTCATCAAATTCATAGACCATTTCAAATTCATACACAATATTGCAGACTTTCTTTTTGTCACATGCATTTGTCACATGTAAGAGAGGGTCATTGACTGTTATCCAGTGGTAACCCAGGGAGGGTGTTAACTCTGTATTAATACTTTTATGGGTTACAAAGTGGCGGATGTAGAAGGGGGTCAGGCTGATCCCCCCTTCAATTTCCCCACGGCAAGGGGGGGGGGGTTCACATCCGAGGACCCCCCTTCAAATAATGATGGATCCGCCCCTGGTTACATATCCACTATGAAACAGGAAATACTACGTACGTCACCGCCATGGTAGGCTACACGTATAAGTAACGCTAGAAAAATACTCGTGTATTTATATCAATAAGTTATGTCAAAAATGTTGGAAAATATTTGGTGAAAAATATCTTATATGGTGACGGCATAACACCGAGAGTGAAGGTGCCTAGAAAATTAAAAAATATCGTATATCGTATTAATGGCAAAGGCGGTGAAATAAAGAAGATTTTTATTGCATTTTTCAATAATTTTGACCTATGATCAATGTCAATTCGGTCTTATTTGCTCATTCAAAACAATGTGTCCAGTTCATTCCGCTTGCCGTCTTGACAGTATTTTTATTGCCAACTTTTGCCAACATAAGCTGCCGTACGTAGTCTCGAATATCGGTGCTTTAAGAAAAATGCATATTGGAATGAAATGTTTTGATGCATCTAAGTAATATAGCGGTAATGAAAAAAAAAACAATACCTGTTTTATCTTTAGGAAAAATTGCACCCTTTGCTTTAAACTAGAGTAACTTCCTTTTTTTTTTTTTTTTTTTTTTTTTGCAAAATTAGCTTGGTAGCAAACTGGTGAAATCTAAGGGCGGAAGATAATTAGGTTGTTATTGTCAGTTTTAACTATCTAGGCATCTCAATTTGAACGACAGTCTAAAATCTGCAGACAGGGCATCATTAAAAGCATCCCTAAGGAAAAATCACGAGGTGGACAGCCCACATTTTGTTTGTTTGGTTTCATGACAATTATACTAGTCGTCGTGCACAACACAAATAACACGGGTTGTTTGTTTTAATTGATTTTCTTAATAATTTACGGCACACTATGAAAACATTAGTGTTTGGCAAATACGGCAAACGAAGCGTATATGATGAATTGGCTTTGGGTTTAACCAACCAAATACGGAACAGTAACGTGAGCTGAAATACTGCTTAATCAGCAATTATCTCCTTTATGACACAAAGAACAAAAAGAATAAAAAGAGACAAAATAGAATTCACCGGTAATGTAATGGTGTGTGCTGACCACAGATGTATTGATCAGTGACTAAAGATTTCCAAATTGATCGATATAGATCATATCTTGTCAGCATTGTGTAACCTGTCAAACCTGTCCATCTTGTCTTATCGTTGTCTCACCTGTCATTTTTCCAGTCCACTCTGATCACAAAGCTGGGTCCAAGGAATAAAAAAACTCAATCCCATTTTACAGTTTTTAAGAGGAGAAAAGCCCCATAATGTTGGCCTACAGTTGCAAGTTTCATGTGCTCAGCACTGCAAAGTGGCACAACTTTTTCCAAGCTGACTTAACGGTAAAATTTCCTTACTACCCCTCTACCCCCTCTACTCCCCTACCCTTCCCCCAACCACACACACACACACACACACACACACACACACACTCACACTTGATACAATGGTTCTGCCACTCGGTATATACCCAAACACATTGAGATCAGTGGTACCTCAATTAAACATAGGGTATGGCTATTGAACCTTAATTATTAACAATATGCGCTGAAGCCCATACTGATGGAAGATTAAGGCGGAGGACCCTTTAAGAGACAACAGTATATCTGGGCGGCGGGCGGTGTGTGTAATGCGAAAATCACACATATCAGTCATCGAAATGTTGAAAATAATGACGCGTTAATCCTAGTTACTTATACTCTATCTGCTGAGAAAATCCTGATGATTGTGTGTGTTTTAAAAAGCTCAAACTACAGAAAGCACACCATACTTAGACACGTCTCAACTTATAAGAGAGAACGCCTGATATTAAATACCGTACAGTACACCTTAAAGCGTAAGCAATGCTAATGGAACTAATCCAAACCCAGTTAATGCGACAACTTCGTATTCTGCACAATAGGTGTTTACAAATGTACCTTTTCAGTCAAATTGAGGACATTTCCCTATGACTAACCCTCGTTAAATCTTGGTAATCTCTTTAAACTGAATCTTTGCTTTTCAATTGATTTACCGTTTTTGCCAAACACCTGCTCCAACCGCAATAATCATAGCTTTTCACCGCTAATGTCTGAAAGCACTTATTTCGTGAGAAGGACGTGGACAGTGTCTTCAGCAAGAGTTTACCAGATCAAAGCGTTAGGCTGGTAGTACTTTGCACAATTTATAGGACATATCACTCTCTTCGCAGTAAAAGCCTCCAGGAATTTGGGCGATGATGCTTTGATTAAACCCAAAATCGAATAAAAACATATATACATATCAATTATACAGAAATTCCGCGAAATGTACGCAAACTGATAAACCCACTAGACAATTATTAATCTGAACTTCTTTTAATATGAATATTTGTGTGAAGAGAAGCATTCTTTGATTTTTTAGAAATTATTATATTTGAGTTTGAAAGTGATTAAAATTACCCTGCACATTAAGCTAATAGTGATTAACGTTAAATGTAAGATTGTGTTTGATCACAACAAGTGGATTAGGCGTGTCTTATCTAACGCATCAGACACCTTAGATAATTCATTTGTGTATGGCGCTATATAATAATGCGGAATAGATCCAACTCAATTTACGTTAAAAAACCTAACATAAATAAATAAAAACAAAAAAGAAAAAACAAGCATAATGGTATGGTTGATTCTAGCACAGACACCAAAGCCCGTCAGCAATCTTTTGATCACGGCTCTTCTTTATTATTTTTATTTTACTTTTTTAAAATCTTACTGTCAGGGGCGAAGGATTACGCTGCATGCAATGGTGATTTCCAGGTGTAGGGTTAAACAATCGCTCTCTCTTTTGATGTAAACAAACCTTAATGACCTTTTGATATAATTTTCATGGGTATAATATTTTTATTAGCAGCTGTCATAAATTAAAACGGGCCTTTTGTTTGGCATGCCGCTCGCGGAATATCAAGATGGAGAGCATTTTACGTTTCAAGTACATGGAAGATCCTTTTTCTTCTTCAGGAATGGACGTGGACTGAAACCGACAATTTCTTCTTTCCGTTTTTCTTTCTTTCTTTCTTTCTTTCTCTCTCTCTCTCGCTCTTTTTTTTTTTTTAAGAAGGGGATGGTTGCTGTTGCCCCGTGTTTAGGAGTGTGGTTTGGGTGGGGACTAAAATCTTCAGTGCCTTTCTAACGTCTAGAGTATCCTTGCGCTTGCGATTGGTCCATACAGCACCTTTGCATAACCAGTTTTGTCGTGAAAATAATTCTTTTGTGTGCTTTTGTTGCGGCATTTCATCTGTACCTTGCCATTCGTGCGGAGAAAGCCGCTTATTATACTGTTAAGGATCGCATATTGATTTTATACCTGTTACGCAGAGAAAAATACAAAAGAAACCATGCGCTGGGGAGTCAATGGAAAAAACCAAACTTCCTTGTTAGTTTACGTATTTCTTTGGGACCCCTCAAATAACAATACTTAAGCTTATAGCTCTTGCACAATTGCATACTTCAATCTAGATGATGGCGATGAAGGTAAGTTAAAATACATCAAGATGAAACATTTTAAGTAACAAAAAACCAAATAGCTATGATCAAGAATCTCTCATTAATTATCGCAGGATATTACTAGTATGTTTATAGAAATATCCCTAGTTCTGCTAGGTCACGTACACTTCAATTAACAACATGGCGTCATTCTGTGAGTGGCATCTGTGTTGTAAGTAACTATGTTAACTAATACATTAACTGCCAGATGCACGTCAAAGTTTGATACCTAGACCCTATATAAGTTCAAGAAAACCAGTTAAATTTTTTTGTAACTGAGTCTGGGAGAAAAGATTTTTTGTCATCGATGAATTATTGTACTAGTAGGCCTACTAGTATTATGTACTAGTAGCTTCTAGTTAGCAACTGAACCATGCAGCATTTGTTTTTTTATTTTAGGTGTTTGTGGAACGGGCCAGTGTGTCAGTGCGTCTTTTTCTACTGGTTGTAACTTTAAACCTGATCGTAGCTGGGGCGCACGGCGGATGCCCAAGTATTCTACCCAGCGCTTGCAATTGTGCAACTAGGATAGAAAACTTGCAGGAGATCACCTCTGTGAAATGCGTAGGGAAGGGATTGGCGGATACTCCACTGTTTACCTACCAGGCTAACCGCAGTGTTCACATTCTAGATCTCCGTAGAAATGAGCTGACCTCCATTGCAAATTATGCTTTTGATGGGCTGTATGGAGTGCGAATACTGTGGCTGGACCAGAACCAAATCTCAACCATCGCATCTAACGCATTCAGCGCTATTAGCAGCACTCTACAACAACTGCATTTAAATTACAACCAACTTCCGCGCATCCCAGTGAACGGCCTGAAAGTTTTAACCAAATTACAGAGACTGGAACTGCGATACAATAAAATAGTAAATTTAGGTCTGACGGACCTTGAAGGACTGAACGAGTTAAAGCACTTGGATCTACAATCTAATGACATCAGTGCCATCGCTGAGGCGCAATTTTCGAAGTTTCCAAATTTGGGACTCTTGTCGCTCGGAGAAAACCGCATAGCCGACCTCCCAACGCGTGCCTTTGAGGGCATCGAAAACTTAACATCACTATCTTTGTCCGACAATTTGCTCACCGAAACCCCCCTTGACACATACGAGAGACTAAGACAACTAGAAATATTTGATTTTAATCGGAATCGCATAAGCGAACTTAACGTTGCTCTTTTTCAGAGACTAACGGGGTTGAGGAACATTTATGGATCTGGAAACAATCTCGAGAGAATAGAGAGAGGAACATTCGATAATCTCCACAGTCTTACTACGCTCGACCTTTCCAATAACAGATTTCACACACTGGCATCTGATACATTCAACGGACTCGCCATGTCATTAGTGACTCTAAACCTTATGAACAATAACCTGACTGAAGACTCGGTCTTACCTGCTATACACTCCTTGACTAACTTACAGCGACTTCTATTGTCGGGAAACGCCTTTCAGATCTTGGGAGCAAATGCGTTTCAGTCACTCAGCAAACTTAAAGAACTTTTCCTTGCTCGCAATAATATTCGGCGTGTAAACAACAGCGCGTTTTCTGGTCTTGAAGAAAGTCTTGAAGTTCTTCACTTAGAGCACAACCGCCTGTTGGAACTTCCGTACTTGAAAAACCTCACAAATTTGCGAGAGTTCTACTTTGGTGGCAACGCTCTCGGAGTTATTCCAAAGAGGGCATTCGACGGTCTCGAGTTGACACGCCTAGATCTCAGTCAAACGAACATCACCTCCAAACTGGCCTCACTTCCACCGGAGGCGTTCCAAGGTCTGGAGGAATACCTTGAAAACTTAGACTTGCATGGGAACTTCCTGGAAACTGTTCATCACTGTGTATTTGGACGGCTGAAGCGGCTAAAGATCCTCGACATCTCGTTCAACCCCTTGTCGTGTGACTGTAGAATGCTGTGGCTGCATTTAACATTTCGAGACGTGACGTACAACAGAGCGAGGTGTGACCGGTCAGCGAACAAGGGTGAAAGTTGGGAAGAGTCAAGTGCCATCGAGTCTTTTACAGTCTCCGGATGCTCGTCAGACGAAATCGCCAATTGCACGGACCCGCCGGTCCCCAGCTCTACAAATACCCCAACTAGCCAGCCGCCCCCTGGGGACCAGCCAAGGCAACTGGCCGCTGACAAGGATACGGTTGTAGTTATTGTGTTGGTCTGCGTCTGTGGACTGGCTCTACTGGCAGTGATCGTGGGGTTCATATGCAGTTGTTCTCAGAGACGACGCGTTCTCAAAAACGACTTTCCTATGTCTGATACGTCTTCAACCGTGTACAGCACTTCTTCAGTTTTCAAGCGTTAATTAAGTGTTCATTTGAGAGATTTTCGTTAGCGTCACAGACAAAGTGTAAATGAAGGTGACTTGTTCAACTCAAAGGACAGCTCTCCCAGGGTGATGTTGTAATTACATGTAGGCTAGTAGACTTTACTTTTCTACAGACAAAACGTGAAAGGTGGTGCGTTATAATTAACATGGCGACAAAATTGCCAACTATAGATAGACATATACATGTAAAATGCCAATCTGTGAAAAATTGAAAAAGAAAATTGAAAAAAAATTAGCCATTGTTTTCAACAAGAACAGCCTGGTTTTCGAACTGGAGCTGCATATAAGTCCGATGAACCATTCCTTTATGGTGTATAAGAGTAAAAATTCCTGGAAACTACAAGGTCACGGCGACGACGTTGCCAGATGCAGATGATGGCTATATGTTCAATCACATAATGTCTGTCCATAAAAATGTAACCAAAGTTTTATTGCACTTGTCAATGTTAGAGTCACTATTATAGTATAATTTAAGGCGACTTGTTCTGCTCAAGTGAGGACGATCATTTTATTCATGGACAAATTTACGTTATTATGTCCAAGTTTTATTCATTCAAAGCTCACAGGAGAGCTCTCAAACTTTCGTGTTATAACATACTGTGTAATTAGTGGACACAGGAGTGACACAAGCTAAGTGGCGGATTTTCGTCAGCGCCACAGATAAAGTGTAAATGAAAGTGACTTGTTCAGCTCTCCAAGGGTTGTGTTATAATTAGTGCAGTTTGTTTCTGTGGAAAAAGGTATATATTCAAGAAACTATAAGTCATTGCCGAGATACAGCGACCGAAGACTTCTCCGGATGTCTTAAAAGGAAACAATGATTAAATGTAAAGATTGCTTTTTATGGATGTAGATATGCGCATTTCTTGTAAAGTATAAAGAGCCCCTTTTTGGCGACGGAGACTTTAAAACATTGTATCAAAACCATATTTCACAATAATACGTAAGTGAATTCGAATTTTGTCTTGTTTAAAAAGAAATGCGGTTTCAGTGCTTTAAATACCTTTTTTTAAATCATATATAGTTAAACAGTCAAAAATATCACTTAAATTTGATGGAAATTAAGATTTTAAGGATTGCACTTTTCGGGTGAATTTCAAAGACAACTCTTTCGGAAACATTACAAAACATTTATTGATTTGTAAACATGAGACGAAATATATTAGTCCGGTGGCTTAAGGAAAAAATCGTGACACGGCGGATAAAAGCACCAAATTTGGCATGTAGCTACCTTTTGACATTCTTAATCAAATTAGAGCCGTAGCCCTCTCAAACAATTTACCGTTTGGTCAAAAAATTCAAAATGGCCGCCAATTTATGGAATTCTATAGAAATATGCACATACCTATGTTGATTTTTATCAAATAAATTATTTTCTCAGAGTTTTCCACACCTTTATTACCCATTGTATTCATATATGTCAGATAGCAAACAAGTTCCCTTGGACTTTTGAAAAATCCAAGATGGCTGTCATATGCCATAGAAACAGCCATAGGAATACTAGTGCACAACTAATACCAGCTAGAAAGATACGTTGTCCACTATCAAATTAAGTCTGTTTCTCAGATTTTGGTTACCCACATTATATGTTTGTAGTGAGTAACTACGAAGTGTTCTTGGGCATTTTGGAAAATCCAAGATGGCTGCCATGTGTCACAGGAATTCTAGTATACGGGGGATTCAACTAATGACAACTGGAAAGATTAATTTTCCACTACCAAATTAAGTTTGTTTCTGAGTGTTTTCCACATCCTTTCCACCAACACAATATGTATGTGGTGAGTAACGAACATGTATTCTTGGGTATTTTGAGAAAATCCAAGATGGCCGCCATATGTCATAGGAATACATCTAGTATTACAAAGGGTTGGAACTAATGCCAGCTAGGAAAACATAATTCACTATCAAATTCAGTTTATTTTTTCAGTGTTTTACACATTATTATTACACTGTGATACATATCTAGCAGGTAATAAATGTGCATATTTGATCATTTTGAGAAAATCCAAGATGGCCGTCACCGGTCATAGGAATACTACTGGTATTCAAACTGCACATCCATGGTTTTTCATCTACTGCCAGGGTGAAATTGTGTTTGCTTATCAAGTTTTGCCCATCCTTATTAGTCCTATGATATATATCTGGTGGGTAGATAGTGTGCATCCTTGGGTATTCTGAGTAAATCCAAGAAAGCTACAATTTGGCATAGGAATACTAATGGGTGGGTTTCAATTGCTGCTAGAGAGGCATATGGTTCATTATACAATTACATTACCATGGGTTTGTTTTAAAAATAATTTATGTTTTTCATTCCATTTATAATTACCCCTATGATGTATACCTGGTCTGTAGCATGTGTGTATCTTTGGGTATTCTGAAAAAAAATTCGAGATGTCTGCCTTTTGTCATTAGAATATTCGTACACATAATCAAATAATTCCAGAGATACACTGAGTACAATTTAAATGTAGTTAACTTTAGATCTTTTAAAATGTTTTTCATATCCTATTTATCCTTATGAAAGACTCATTGTGTGTAGAAAGTGTATGTATCCTTGAGTACTATTCGGAGAAAACCCAAGATAGCTGCCAGTTGTCATAGGAATATATCATTCAAATGCACATAGGTGTCAATTCATGGAACAGTTCAGACATGGAATCCAACATGAAATAAACCTGTTTGATATTCAGACATGTTCACATCTTTATTAACCCTACTCTATATAAATCTGATGTGTAGCAAGTGTGCATCTTGCATATTTGAGAAAGTTCAAGATTGCTGCAATTCACAATAGGAGTAGCACAGTCAACTACTGCCAGAGAGACATTGGGTTCAATATAAAATTAATTTTGTTTCTCGGTATTTCCCACATTCTTTTTGGACTTTGAGATATCTATCTGGTGGGTAACAAGTGTGTACCCTTAAGTATTTTGACAAAATGCCATGATTACCCTCATTTGCCTTAGAAGTGCCTATAAAATCCAATGCAACAGTTTTCCTATGGGGAAAGGAAGGCCATCTTGGATTTCCCCAAAATGATCAAATATGGACATTAATTACCTAACAGATTTGTATCATGTGATAATAATAATAATAATAATAATAATAATAATAATAATAATAATAATAATAATAAACTAACAGAAAAACAACTGAATTTAGCTTCAATTTATATGAAAGCCTATCTCTCGCAGGTATTAACGTATTAACTGAAACCCACCTTCTATGGCTAATGGCAGCCATTTTGTTTTGTGTTGTTTTCAAAAAGGATACACATAACATTCTCATCACATATATATTATGTGGATTAAAAAGATGTGGAAAATACTCAGAAACAAACCTAATTTGTCAATCAATATTTTATATCCATGGCAGCAGAAGCCCTATGTGTATACTAGTATTCCTTTGATATGGCGGCCATCTTGGGTTTTTCTCGAAATGCTTGAGAATAAAGGTTAGTTACTCACCACAAATATATTATTTGTGTAATAAGGCACTCAGAAACAAAATTAATTGGATAGTGGGCAATGCATCTTCATAGTTGGCATTAGTTGAAAACCCTTCTACATGTTCTAGTATTCCTAAGCCATACGGCGGCCATCTTGGATTTTTCAAAAAGTCCAAGGACACTCGTTTGTTATCTGACATATATGCATTATATGGGTAATAAGGATGTGGAAAACATTGAGAAAATACTTTATTTGATAAAAATCAACATAGGTATGCATATATTTCTACAGAATTTCACAAATTAGGGGCCATTTTGGATTTTTTGGCCAAACAGTAATTTTTTTCCATGGGCTACGGCTCTAATTTGATTTAGTACGTCAAAAGGTACCCACATGCAAATTTTGGTGCTTTTATCCGCCGTGTCACGATTTGGCCATTTTTTGCCTTAAGCCACTGGACCATATGAACTACATGTAAAAATCACTCAAGGATTATCTCTTACACTGCGACTTCTGTTCAACAGGTGTCAAATCTCCATAAACATTTCTGACAGGTATTATGCATTCCATCATGTTTTCTTCACTTCAACTTTACAGCCTGTATAATGCATTTGATCTGTACATTTTATGTACACTGTAAAATAAAAAGCACTTCCGTATTAATTTCATTTACAAATCTACCGTATTGCAATGACACTAATGCACTGTTAACTTTCACAAATATGACATACTGCATAAAAAAGAGAACTAGATTCCAGAGACGTACAAAAAAGTTGCATTAACACATATACTAGTAGAACGTTAGGCAGAAAGGCATGCACAGTGATTACATGGGGGGGTCATCTTTGGGAAGACTGTGTGGATATGAAAATTTGGCATGAGTATAAAGCTGAAAAAAATAACTACACGGGAAGGTAAATTGATATAATAGTTAATTTCATGAAACAACAAATAAACAAAGGGAAATAGGTGTCGTACGAATGCGTATGTCCTATTTCAACTAAAAACTGCAATTAGTCTTAGATTATGTCAGCTTTTGCTTGTTTTTACTTGTTTTGATCCATTTTAAAGTGATAAACATGGTGGAATCTAGGATTCATCTATGTTTTAACATAGTTGAAACATAGTTGAAACCAATATTCTTCTCAAAACTGAAATGTGAAATATGTCTTTACGCGTACTTCTATAATTACTCCCTATTAATTTTTTAATTCAAAATTCTTTTTTTATAGCTGTCAGGTATGACTTCATGACTTTTGGGGATCAAATATATATATATATCAATATATATAATAGAGCTACAATATTCAGACCTACAGAAGATAAAAATGTGCAAGCTTTCCACCTTTAAAGCCCTAAATAGGTCTAGACAACACATAAAAAATTACAAAACAATCATTGTTCACTTTGGCACAAATATGACAGACAAATATGAAAGCAGAGAAATGGAGAAAGAGAAAAGTATTATTTCATGTACTGAACTATCTTTAGGTCAATTATGTTAGCTGTCAATTACATGTACCATGACTATCTCTTGATGTTGAAAGATATAGTAACAAAATTATACATATAGGTCTCCTTCACAGGTCTCTCCTATTTAAAAATAGTTACAATTCTTATATTGGGATGATCTTTTACACAATTCTTCAGCAGGAAATATCTCTGTTACAAATAAAGGCCAATTCCAGTTTGTATTTGGGCATATTTTGCTACTTTTACATTCATTTCATTTACATAATCCCAAAACTTGATAAAAAAAAGAGAAGTAACAGCAATAACCCCACTGTCCTGACATTCCATGGCAAATAACTCTGTCATGATATCACAGTGGTTCTTCCTTCACTGAGTGCTGCTGGGACCTTCTACATTCACATTTCAATATGCTGTATCTTAAACATACTACATCCAATCCTGCTCCAGCTTTCATCACTTCACTGGGTTGGTACTTCTTTTTCATGAGCACTGGTTAATATTCTGTCCACTGCTGGCTTGAGCAACAAATTTCACATGGTAGTCTGTGGCCAGAGTAAAGTGGGAGATACATCCAACAAAACCCCCTGTATATTTGTGAAGTGTTTTCTCTGCCATGTCATTCACAGCACCTGAAATATTAGTTTAAAGAAGATAGATTAGAATATTACATAAATGATATATATACACTTCCATATTGTGAATAGGCAGTGATCTATACTAACTAAGGATATCATCAGTCAATTTTTCATTTTTTTTGTTTTCTGTAACTAATTTCTAATGTGGTATCAACCATCTTTGTCGTGGGATGGGTCAAATGTCATCACTGTTGCCACAGCTGCACGTGTGCATGACTCTATGATCCTCCCTCCCCAAACATCCCCCTGCCCCAGTAACACAACACTGGGTAAAAGTGGTTATCGTAGCAGGGGAAATGACCCCCATCCCTGTTTAAAATCAGTAATCTCTGCCCTTGTATTTTAAAAACAGAATAAAGTGGCATGCCATTTGGTTGCACGGCTTTCACTTAATTTATTCTGCTGAGAAATGACATATTTAAAGTAAAACTGCTATTGTACATTGCTTTTAGACAATTATTCTCTGTGTTCACAGTCCCTTTTCTTTTATGTCATACCATACCAAAATTTGTCTCAAATAGCACCACTGTACCCCCATACCTAAAAAGAGTTGTGTGTTGGTATTTAGCTGAGTAAATCTTCCAGGACTTCGGCCATCTTGTGCAGAAAGGTCATCAACTTTCAGAGACCCATCCTGTTTTAACCTGGGACAAAAAAGAATACTTTATGGCAACTGAAAATATGAATGATTTTTTTTTCTATAAATATTTATTTATTATCACTGTGAGATGTGACACAATTTATACCAAAACAGTTCATCTTATGAAACTTTCTGACCATGTGATACCTGCAATCATGTACCTTTTAGCATGAATCCTGTGCCACTTCCCATCATCGATCCTGGTCGTATTGACCATGATGTCCGCCTCCCCACTGCCCAGGTTGTACTGAAAGTGGACATACCCTCCACGCAAACCAATAGCCACATAGTCGCTGATGGTGCTCAGGTGTTCTTCACTACTCCACAAGATAAGTCCATCTGATTGGCTGGTCTTTAGCCGTATTTTAATATCCAGCTTCTTGCCTTTGATTCTATTTCAATAATAAACAGTTTCAATTTCAGAAAAAAATGTGATAATTTTAATTTCATATCATCTTTCCATTAAAAACATATAACTTTAAAAGAGCATCTTTTGTAAGCAAATAAAACCTTTTAATTTTTAAATTTTTAGCTGTATCTTACCTTTTCATGGTTTCTTCATCATTATACTTCAAGAAGCTGTTTCCTCTAAACATTGGGACTGTCACATCATCATATACAGCTAAAACATAAGTATATCATTTTAAAATATGCTAAATTATCAATCATCTATTATGATATAATATGGAACTTAATTACTTGATTTATGACTTCTATTACACATCTTTTTCATTAAGAATATTTCATAACCGTGTTGATTTGTGTGAACAAAGTATATTCATTCCCTCAGCTCTTCAAGTATGGTAGTTCACAAAATCTCCTGGCAAAGTGGGGAGTATGTAACATGTAAATTTGTGTTCTCAATATGTAAAAAAAAGAAGTAATTTCGACAAAGAGTAAAAGACCTTATAACATGGTCTCCATGGAGCAAATGACGCTGTCAAATTATGAGAAAATCTAATCAAACTCCCATTTAGCCAAATGGTAATTGTTTCAAGCTTTCAACCCAGGCAGTTAAAGTGGGGAAAAAACTGTAATGACTTCTGCTACTTGTAAAAATTTCATAAACGAAGCTGATAATTCAATTCCTAATTACATATGGTCTTGTAGAAAGACGTTACTGTACTTGTACATGCCATTTATTGATTAGACCACCATGTATTGATGATGACTATATATACATAGAATGGTGAAAATGAATCACACATATGCTTCCCTTAATGTACGTGTATTGGCAATTACTGAAATTTGATGACATATGTTCAGCATATTCAAATAATTTACGATAAGATTTTACGTAATATATAATTGAGATATACACAACCAAGAAAGAATTTCTATATATGCAGTATATCTCTATAGTAGAAAATTTCATATCAGTGTTTAAAAATGTGCTTCACTAATGGAATCAGTACTTGTTGTTTGACCCCCCTCCCCCCCAAAAAAGGGTGTGGGGTGGCTGGCTTCTCAAAACCAAAGCATACAAAATTCATTGAAAAGAACATTATTAATTATTATATCTGCAATTAATTTGTGAAACCAGTCTAAAAAAAACATGTATAATATTTGTTTTCTTTTTATTAGTATTCGTTCTTTTCTGCTCATTTGTCAAGGCCAAGTACATGTAGGAGTATTTTCCAAATGCAAATGTAGACCCTCATAATCAATACTAACTATATCATGGTCCTTCTCATCACTGAGTCAAAATACTTTAGGGATTCTATTACCCATGTGCTAAACTTGTTTGATTATGTAAAAGATGAAGAGATAGGTGACTTTTTGTAAAAGAAAGAATGTGCTGCAAAAGTTATAAAAATTTCCTCAAGTTAATTTCAGCTAAAAATCATTTAAAAAACCTATGTGGCAGCCTACAAAATTACTGGACAGTATTTATTTTTATTTTATTTTTTTATGTTATGTGTGAGCGTGTGTACTTCATGTAAAATGTACAACATAGCAGTACTTAATCTATATTGCAGCCAAAATGGGTATTGTTTTTGCATGTTTATACTAATTCATTTACTTAATTTTCATATCCTTAGCAGAAAAAACTATAGAGTACACCCAGTTATTGATTCTCAACTGTAACACATGTTGAACCAACCACTCCAATCACCACTACATCAATCATGCATGAACCATTTGTACTCACTTTCTTCACAGTTTGTGTTGGTGAACCCTAGAGGACAGTTACATGTGTAGAAGTTCTTATAAGGGACACACTTCCCGTTGTTCTCACAGGGCTTGGTGGAGCAGGGGTGACTGCAGGTGTCTATGTTAATGCCATCAATGTAGTCCTCCATCAGAGTCAGAGGCTTGTTGTTAACAACCACCTATTTAATATAAAAATTAAGTAGGACATGTTATGTACTTTAAAATAAGAGCAGCAGATAATGTTTTGAAAAAAAAGTTTAAGAGCATCATAAAATCTTTTAAAATTAAAGTTTAACATGTAATACAAAACCATCACAAATAAAAAAGCTTATTGACTTATGTTGATTTATTTCTTTGTACTGTTTGGTATTTCCTATTTCTCTGATAAATGTCTGTCTACCTCATCTGATTGACTCCATGTGATACTTTGACAGTTTTGATACCACTTTATCAAGGTTTTTACCTGATGCTTGAAACAATTTTCTGCAACTTGAATTCAATTAGTAAGTGGATTAATTTCCATATCATAAACATTTTTTTTTCAAAAATTTACAAATTTCCACTGAGGTAATTAAAAGTATATAACATAAAATATTACCATCATTACACAAAATACATGCACATTTCCAATGTTTATATATCGGGTATATACAGAGATCTCCTCACCTTTTGTATGCAACCTTGAAATGACTGTTTAACCCTGGCATATTTAGAAGTATCATCATAATTTCTGTGTCCTCCAATGAAGAGATCCTGTAGAAGTGTAAGCTGTGTGTAAGCTCCCTGGGACAACCCCTGCACCGCAGGCTGCTCATTCACCTCCAGAACACCATCACGTCCTGTACGGGAGATCTTTACTGTGTGCCAGGTATTGAGGGGTAATGGCTGTGATGACCTGTGAAATATCAATTAGATTAATTACATATTATACTTTGTAATTCATGTAGCTGAAGCATTTGTTCAGAGAGACTGCACTAACTTTCAATTTTCAATTCTTAAAAACATGACAGAAAGACTGTTTGTACAATGTATCATCTGCGTGTGTGTGTAAGTGCCTACATGCGTGTGTGCATGCGTGCGTGCATGCGTGCCTGTGTGTGTGTGTGTGTGAGCTAAAGAGATCTTCACTGTGTGACAGGCATTGAGAGGTAACAGCTGTGATGATCTGGGCAATATCCATTTAACTTCATCAATATACTTTGCAATTCATATAACCAAGGCTTTTACTCAAAAGGACTGCATCTATTTTCAAAGGGACTCAGACTGATATGTGTTATGTTTATATGTACAATTTTTGAGGTAGAACATGTAATACTTTCATTATAAAAAAGCTCATTTCTTATACTACCTAATAATAGCAGGCCCAGTCCCTAAATCAAAGCGATATTCCAAATATCCATCCACCAGAGTCAGGGAGATGAAGTCTCCTCTACGGTCTGTGGTGAAGCCATTATACAGGAGGGTGCCATCTTTATTTGTAGCCTTGAAGACCAGTTCTATCTCTGTATAGCTAAGTGCTGTTCTTCTGATTCCTTCATACTGCAGGAAGGAATGCCCTGTAAACTGGGGGACCACAATGTGCTCAATGCCTGAAAATAAACTGTCCACATTAAAATCTAAAAATTGTCTTATTTATTAAAACAAGCCCTGCAGTTATGCCATTCTAAGCACTGAGATGCTATGCAAAAAAGTATCAAGTACTTGTAAATTTCCATTGTAGACTAAATATGTAAAATCCTTACTAAGGTGTACCTATATTATCTACTACTTATAAGCAGAATCGTAAAAAAAATCAATTTTTAAACAAATGAAGTAAGATTATGTATTACTTCTTTCACAATATTTCCCAGCAGTCATCATGGGGCAGAGACATGTGTAGGTGTCTGGAGAGTCTGCCATGCAACTTCCGCCATTACGACAACGAGAGTTACGACATATATGGGCACTGCATTCAGCTAGAGGAGAAAAAATTGAATTGGTGCATGGTAAATTATTTTCAGTAAAAGTTTATTAAAATTTATCTCAATAAATGGATAAAAGAGTCAAATTACATGTTAACAATTTTTAAAAAATTGCTTTATAATTTGATAAAAGCACAATATGTTTAAATGGATACATCAGGTTCTACATTATCAATCAAATAAGCAACAAGGATGCTCATTACCAAAAGAATACAGGATTTTCACAAAGAGAAAGATATATTACCAACAATGGAGATGACACTAGCATTTGAACTTTCGTTCCATAAGACCAAAACACCACCTCACCCACATCTACACCATCCATGGCGTCTCCAATGAAGGCTCCCTTACGGAAGTCAAACTCTTTGCCATTAATTTTCATTGCCTTGACACAACCAATGAAGCCAAAGTACATCCCTGTCCTGCTGCCTATGTGAGTAGTGTTGATGTATCCTCCTAGAAACAAGGGTGTACGGAATGTGATCCGTGAAAACAAACCCTGGAAAGTAAGAAAATATGCTGTTAAATATCCTTGATGTACATACTGGTATAAAAGAGTGCAAAGAGTTGAGTGTGTCATGAATTTTCGCAATGAACTGCATTATGGCACATCTTTGTTTCATGACAGGGGTCAAATTTAATGCATAACTATGAGACTTACAAAGTAGGAATACATTTTGTGCACTTTATTTTGTTTATCACTGACATGCATGTACATGAAGGTGTTCTATTCTTTGTATAGGAAAGTATACCCCACAAACTGCAATTCCTTCATGGCATTGTGCAGCAAATGTGCTGCAATATGTCTGCATAGTAGCAGCAGTATATTTTTTCTAGCAAACTCCTGCAAACTCATTGCTGCAAACTTTTCATTTTGCTAAGAGGATACATCCAATTAAAAAGATGATAATAGTTTTTAAATTCTATTTCTGGATTTACAATTGTATGATAACAAGTGCAGAAGTAGAATCACAAAAATATATACAATTGTGTTGATGTCTCAGGTACATGTACACTAGCTAAGCCAGTGTTCCTGGTGTGTCAGTGTGTTAGGTGAGACAGTGCACATTAGGTTCATCTCTTACCTGAGCTCTCCCTCTGACCTGTTCTCCTTTATTTAGCTGTACAGACCCGTCCCACTCATGTCTGTGGACAGTGACTGTGTTCCACTTTCCCAGCTTTACTTCACTGGTCGTGCGGATTTTGGCCATACCAGTACCGCAGTCAAACCTGAAATCACGTAAAACTAGAATGGCCTTTGGTGTGTGAAAGAATTTACTGCTGCAGGACTTATTAAGAAAACCATTATTTCAATTTTAAATAGCTTCATAGCTGTGATCTGATCTCATATGAATAGGAGCATCACCTTGCTTTTAAAGAAATTGCATTGGGATATTGCTGGTATAAAAAACTCAAGATTTTGTTTGATTGCCTTAAAATGACCTTACAGTTAATAACCATTGCGCAAAAATGTATAGCGACAAAGTGTCTCAAAATGGCCCCTGGTTACGGCATTGACCCCACAGGGTTCTTAGGTCAAGTTATTTTGAATGATAAAGGACCCTTTTTACTTTTCATAGATAGGAAGACAAGTTCACTGGCAATCTGCTTGTAGATAGGTTTCCTTGAGCTATTAATGAATAAAATCTACTAGGATAATGAAAAAGTAAACTTTTCTTAAATAGACTGAATGTTTCACAGTAAAAATGAGGAACAACAAACAGGAGCTAGCAAACAAGTTGACAGACTGCAATATTTTAACATTTCCAAGAGGCTTTGTATATTAAATTTAATGCAATTGGATGTAAACAAGTGAAAAGATCATGTTTTTTTCTTGCTTCCTTTTCCCCCATAATTTTGTTCTTGTCCTATACTACATGTACACCATACATTTTAAAGACAGAGATATCAACTGCCATACTGATGAAGCAGCACAGAAAGAGCACAGAAAGAGTGGGTGTATGAATAATTTATCACATATGTAACCAAGTCTGATCAAAACCATGTTTGGGATTCGAAAATTGAATCAGCAATCTTTTGGGAAATGAGAGGGAGATGAAAAATATTCAAAACACGACCACAAGCAGGCCGGTGTCAATAGCAGGAGCTACATCGCCATAATTAGATTTCTTGGCACTTAATGACTAATATCTTATGGATCCTAGGATGAACAAAAGTTCACAATCCTATGCAGAGTGAGGAGAACATAATTAGGATTCAATTTTCACTCTGGCAAACTTATTCTAAGAGTCAATTATGTGTATAATCTGTTAGATACATGCACAAGAAAGCTGATATAAGTAGTGTTACCAGAGTTTCAGCAAGAAGACCAAAGCATTTCTACATATGATAATGCAATTTTCTCAGCTCAGATTATTGAAATTAATTAAGATTCCAGGCAAACTGCTGGTTAATGAAACCTACAAACATGAAAAGGATGGATAAGAAGTGACAACACCTGAAGGGAAAACAATTGCTTTTGTTCGAAATGTTGAATTTATTCATACCTAGAAGCCATGCATGCACCAGTTCATGTACTACATGTACAAAGTCTTATGAAGAAGTTGCTGCTGATGTTTTTTTATAAATTTACTTTCTAAGTAAACTTTCTGGGATTGTTTGGTAGATTTCTTGAGGCGAATAAAAAATTGTAATGGAGAGCACCAGTTCATGCACAGTGTGTGTTCAAATTAAAAAAAATATATATGTGCATGTGTGTGCATGTGAGTGCATGAATGCATGTGCATGCATGTGTCTTTGTATTGTACGCATGAAGAGAATTAAACATGAGCATATGAGAACATTGCACAACTTAATAGCTGGGGTGTGTGTGCCATTTTGTAAATCCCAAATGACATAATCTGGTCCTTCCTTTGAACTGTCATGCACAGATGTCATTGCAGATATTCCATTTCACTCCTGTCCCAGACTAATAGAATGACACAGTTATCTGTCATGATCAAAGGACATGACACAGTCATCTCTCTGGAGTGTTAATCTTGCACATAAACGTGCCTCTGAATACAGGTATGGTAAATCTAACTGCAAATCCTTTGATTCTGAAGTATAAAATATTCATAGTCTTTTGGTTTCTATTATCCAAATAATTTTCTTTAGGAGCGTAAGCTATTAAACAGAGTGGTGTCCTGAACTCCAGAGCACCAACACCTCATCTGTCAATCAATGTTCAGCAAACAAGGGGCGGACCTTAAGTATACAAGTACCAGCATTAGAATGATGATATGAGAAGCTTTAAGCTTATAACAAATACGTAATTTAGGGTCAATATCTGTGAACGCAACTGCTAATCCAGTATTATGGCTACATTGGTAGGGTGGATATTACTTAAAGGATAATGTGTGTGTGTGTGTATCTTTAGATAACCTTCTATGAGGGCTCATTCCCAATGAAACTATTGTTCTACACAGATCGATCCAACTTTCACTGAATGCAATCCGTTTAACAGATTAACATACCTCTTCCTGGCATTCAGTAGCTAAAGAATACAGAAAAGCTGGTGATTATACAAGTACATTGGAAACAAGAGGAGGCTTGTTAGTCTGTTAAACTGACTGTATTCAGTGAGAGTTAACCCAAAGTTGGATTGATCTATGCTAGGTAGAACAAGTTTCCTTGAGAAAGAGCCATAAGTGAGAACTGGACTTCAACCAATTTTTCCAAGCAACACTAAGTGTGCATTGCCAGCACTGCACTTATCTTTATGTGCATATTTTCTGTTTAACATGTAAAATAACAACCTGCAACCAGGGAAATTGGTACTGAAAATTAGCTTAATACACTAAAATTAGTGTAGAGTTTCCAGTAATGGACTTGCTGCATATCATGATTTTGCTATGTTACTCTTTTTGCCAAATTCCAGCAATAGACCAAAATATTTTCTTTCAGAATTTAAAAAAATTGAGTCTCTTATTTTAAAAAACATATAAATACCATTTTTATCATCACACAGAACAGGCAGCAAATAGATTGCTGCTCTGGGCACCCACATATGGCTCATCAGGTGCAGGAAACAAAACTTATTTTCAGGTTCCCGATCCTTGAGGACACTGGCTTGGAGCACATAAATGAGCTTGCCAGTGTCATGGAGGACCAAAGGGTCTGGAAGTCTGTTTGTGCTGTTGCTTAAATAATGATGTCGATGGTCAACTGCGATCGACATGATTGATGGATTGATGGATGGATGGATACATAAATTCTTATTAGTAAGTTCATAAATTCTTATTAGTATTAAAACTTAGAGAACAAACTTACCTAAACTCCACATATCCATCAATCAAGCTGACTGAAAAGAAGTCTGTATGAGCATCAGGGTGTTCTCCACTAAATAACAGCAGACCATTCTGAGTATCGGGGCGAAACTCCAAAGTAACGGTCATCTCTTTGAAGGCCCTCCTCAGGACAGGGAACGAGACATACCCAGTGCCCATAAATTTAGGGTAGCGGACAAGCATTTCTACAGAAGAAAAAAATATGATTTGATAATGTTACTGTTTAATTTATGTATGTGCACAGACTGTGATAATACAAAAGAACCTAAAAACAGTGATGATTTTCTAATAGTACATATTTTTTTGAAAAAATGGAATGAAATGTTTGATTATATTGCTCCCACTATGGCATGCCCTTGTTCAGGCACTATAGCTCTACAGTGTGCTTATCTCCCATGTGTGTGGATTTCATTTCACTACCACTTCTCCTTTTAACTTTTTTACTGCTATAAACTTTGATATACATTTTATGTCTGTGTTATACCAATGTTACTACAATTTCATAACAGATGTCTGAATCTGTGCAAACTTCCGTGATCTGGATAATATTAAAAAATAGAACCTTTTTTTTCAATACAGCTGACATAAAAAACAACACACAGATATCATTTTATGCAACGAGATAACTGCTATGGAGTTAAGTTACCTGGGATGAGATCTTCTTACCAATAACTTTTTACAACAATCACTTTTTATCAGTGTTCAATGGGAAGTTAGCACCTGTTCCTGGTTGATTAAAACAACTACAACCTTTGTGTTGCAGAGAAATAGTTTGTGTAAAAAGGATACTTTATACATCTGCTAGGTAAGTAATTGTGTTTTGGCCCATGCTGGTTTGTAAGCATAACTCAAAAAGATATGGATGGATTTTGATAAGTACAATGTAGGATAGGTCTGAAATGGGTTATCAGTAGAATCTATTCGATTTTGTTGGTGGTCCACTTATTTAAGTTAATTAATTGATTGATTTTTGATATTACATTCAAAATAAATGCATATTTTCTCTTTTGGGGGAGAGTTGGGCTACATGTTCCCATTCATGACCCCAAAATCCTGAATAATGTCACAGCTATAACAACTCATATCAGATGGAATAATGGATGCCTGTAACGTCAAAGTAACTGACATGCACTTATTTCAGTAGGAAAATGGATGTAGGCATCAAACACTCTGCCTTCAGAAGAGAACGTTTAGTCACTTCATTGAATTGGGTCTTGAATCAATGCCTCAGACCATCTTCTTCTATCTTTGGAGACAATGTATTGATTCTGTCCATAGTCTGCCAAAGCAGGGAAAGGGGCTCAGGAGACCTTGGCGATCATATTTCTATCCTCACATTTTATGCTATTATTTTGGCAGATGGCTAAACTAATGAACCTCATCAATGAAGTTAATTATAACAGTTCCATTGAAGGCTTCATTCCAGAGAAGACAGCTCTTGTAAAAACCAAATTTATAAGTAGGGCAATTTGACATTTTCACAATGACAGGATTTTGTCTCGTTTTCCCATCTGATTTAAACAGAAAACTGACGGTATCTCCAGTGGGTGCTTTTATTGATGAATTTGGAGACAGAGAATTGAGAAGAAATGACTGATGCCACCAGGGATAACTGCTTTCTTTATTTTTCTGGTGCATTTCTTCACACAGTAATCATCAATCCTATGTTGATTGCTGATACAAATCTCTAAATATTGAGCATTTTTTAATTTCTTGTTTTATTTTATGTTCTAAACTATAATTTTAACCCAATGAAAATCTAGCACATTCAACTTCTGCGTATGCCAACTTTAATAAAAACTTATCCAAGACTAACCTTATCCATGCAGAAACAAGATACAGTGAGACCATTCTTATGAGAAAAACTACATCTTTTTACCTTGTTCGCAATAATCTCCATCAAAACCCAGGCGGCACTGACACCGAACACCTCCACGCAGCACGTCTGGCACACAGCTCCCCCCATTGAAGCAATCCAAGTCATTGCAGGAGGTATACTTAGCAGGGGCCTTTGTCTGCCGACTTAGAACAGAGTTCTCATGTCTCTTATCATGGGTTGCTACTGGCATAATAATATTTTCAGAGGAAGAAGAGTCAAAATCATCATACTTATCACTGGATTTCTCATTTTTAATATCTGACTGTGAAGAAAATGGTACTCTATTGTCTGCTATTGGCCTAGGATCATCTCCCTGAACAATGTCATGTTTAGAATCTGATAATTTTGCAGCTTTTTTGGCTGTCTCTTTTTCTCTGCCCTGGGGCTGGTTCTCTGTGAAGGTCTGGGTGTGTAAAGTAGAGGGAGTACTGTATTTGGTGTCCACATTGTGGGTCTGAGGTATTGTGTACCAGGTATGGTTAGGTGCTGGAACACTGTGTGTTGCTGAAACTTCTGAAATGACAATCATGGACATATATGTATAATCTTAATGAAATTTCAACATTTTAGTTTCAATTTCCAAACTCAAAACATATCCATGTACATTTTTTTTCGTGATAACATTAAATTTGAAGGCTACACAAAAGAAAGGCAATTTCATTTTAATAAGAAAACTGAAATGCAAAACAATATTTCATGTATATATTCAGATATCTTTATTTAACAGTAAGCTAGGGTTGTCAGCTAAGGTTGAAATAATGAAAGAAAAAATTTCCTCATGCTTCCATGCAAACTGTTTGAAATGATTATGTTGAATGTGCACTTTTGCATGGCTGCTTAAATCATTAGCATACCAAGAGAATGAATATTACTCAAAGTTATCGAAGATTTGAAGAACAAGTGAGCAGAAAACAAATATGAATTATCCAAAGTGCCTATTACGGCATTTAAAATAATGCTATCAGACCAATGCTACCGGTAGTTATATTTAGTTTGTCATGTGCACTTCACTTGAAAGCATGCCATATTTATTTTGCAAAATTATGTAATCCATATCTATTATTACATAAAACACTTAAAAACACACAATTTATACAAATTACTAGTAGAATACATTGCTATTAGAATCGAGGTAAATCAAGTTGTATTATTTTTACAACTTGTATCATCCATCTCGATAATAAAGCACCAATAATAGAGCACTTTTGTTTGTTGTTTCAAGATAAAAGTTATCTTCTTTCCACCCACGAATGCTTGCCCTTAAGATAATTCTCCTTGTACGTCTATATGAGCAACATATCTTATATACAAGTAATTGACTTTACACAATTTGATAATTCAAAATAGGCCAAATTAAGTTTCCTTGTAATATAATTGTAAGCAGGTTTTGCAGCTGATGGTTTTCCAAGATTGGGTAAATGAAAGTTGAAAGTACTGTAAATGGATAATATTAAATATCTATTGTGAACTGGAGTTGATAAAACATAAAGAATGATTCACATCTATGCAGAGAAATGAGGAGAACAGTTCACATTTGTAAAAACAGCCCTCACTGTCTTTTAACTCATTTTATCAAGCATGTACGTAACCCATCCCTGGTGAAAGAACACATATCTTTTTTTCCTCCATTAAAAATACAAGATGCCATTATCTGAAACATGACCCAAACAAATGTGGCTTTTATTTGCAGTCAGCAGCTATTTATGAACAAGAGAAAGAATGAAAACATTTGAATGATGTAGGGGTAGGGGTTCAAGGGGTTGAATGAGAAAAATTGAGGTGGATGATGCTTGAATACCTTACAAAGAAAGAGACAGCTACTTCTAAGCATGTTAACTGTGCTATCTTCCAACCCAGAGTTGCAGAAAATTGCATTTAGATTGAGGCCCCTTTTCTTCCTCTTAGGTCTTATTCCAGGTTTGTTCTTTACGAGACCCATGAGGCTGTGCACAAAAGAAAAGCTGCACGCAGCACCATGTTAGTTACTGGTAAATAATTCCCACTATTTTTTGGAGAAAAATATCTTCATCGTTTTTATTTTGAATAAAGAACAGTAGTTTTGGTTTTCTTTTGCATATGCTTGTCTGTAATTTTCATAAACCTGTTTATTTTCACAGGCAGATATCTGTTAGAGGATGGTGTGTGGAGAACAGTCTGCATTTAACACTGGCCCCAAGCCAAATGCCAATAAAATATTGCAAAACTGTTCAGTAACTGACCACTGTTTCTGCTTTTGTCTGTCTGGTAGATTCTTAGACTCTGGTGTGGCGTCCAGAAGGGCCAATGGGCTAACAAGATTTTGGCACAAACCAGAGTATATAGGCAGACAAAATATCTATGTAGGATTACAATCAATTGTACCATACAAAAATCAATATAGAAAACAGTTTCAAAAGTTAGCTTTAGACAAGATAAAAAAAGAAAATAGAAAAAAGCTTTTAAAGACAAACATGAAATTTGCAATATAAAGAAGAAAAAATCCTATAAAAGATCACTTACTGTTTGTAAAAAATTCTCCACACACTGGTGACAAAGGTCTTTTCACAAAAGTTGTTAATAATTCAGTGACCTATACCCTGAATATTGCAATCTACTATCAACATTTCCTTAAAGGTATCTTTAATCCCTTTTAAGTCCCTCATAATAAGACAAGATGCATGAAATCAACTCTCTCACTCTGTGTGAGACCATAGACAAAGGAGAGAAAGTCACAATGGGCATATCTCTGCCATTGTACAGGTCATCAGACACAAGATTTTCTAATTTATTTTAAAAAGAAAAAGTTTGGACTCCTGCAGGACTTTACATTTGACATCTGACTGGGTCATGTTACTGAGTGCTTAACCTGTGAAAGAGATGCCGACAGCAGCAACATCTGCCTGAGATGATGATAAAAGAACCAGTAAAATGATTTTTCTAAGGAAAACATTTGCAATTAAAACTGGACACAGGGGCAAGGTCTGATTAGAAAAAAATGCAGCTTTAAAAAATGTTAAGAAAATGTAAAATCAATACAAATATGCAAAAAACAGACAAGCTGTATTCTGTTTGTAAAGTACATCACACATGATATCTTAAATATTATCATTAAATAACTTCTGTGATTCCATGATTTCACTAAGGAGGGATGGACAGAGAGAGGGAGAGATTAATAGGGAAATATTTTTTCAACCTTGCTTCAAAAGCAATATCTGCAGGCAAGGACAGATGTGTTACAAAGGCTATTTTTGTTACATGTATGTAATGCATTGTTTATCAGAAAACAAAAACTGGCAAAAAGGGATGATTTTGGTTAGGTTTTCTTTTTGTACAAAATATAAAGGTTAGATTAACAAACGAGTCTGATAAGAGTATATTTAATACACGTGAGCTGAATCCCACTGTTAACAGCATGAAAAAACTGCTTAATCTCTGAGGAGTTTCAGCTCAATAATTTTGGTTTACCACTTCCAGTGAATAACTGCACCAACAGCCTGTCAAATGACTCAAATAAGTGGAATTAGGGCATTTTTTTTTCATATAAACAGTTTATAAACTGGGTGAAAATGTGGAATTCAAAAACTCACAATTAATGTAGGCTGCATTAAATTCTTGATACACAATGTACATTTTACACTACATTGGAAATTATGTAAAATCAATACAGTATTGGGCAGGCCCTATAAGTACATTGACATTTTTAAAAAGTTTCAATACTTTAGGAACACTCAAGTCTCTCAAAAATGTCCACAGAAGTCCACATATCCACACTGACACATAGGTACAAATAATTTCAAAGGGATACTGTGACTAGCTATAGTATCTGTCCAGGGTATAGGCATACAGAAATAGATAAATGGATATTCAATACCAATTACCAGGACTGATGTTGTTAACAATGACCTGAACTTCACAGGTTTCACGTCCTCTTGACTTTATTCATTTAAGTTACCATGGCTGAGTCAAGAAGCAAGGGTGAGGTTGTCTCTTTTCCTTTACACCCTAATATACATGTTACAGGAGATCAAGTTAAAACAAACCTTCAGGAAAATCAGAAATAAAAGCTAAAAATAGTAGAACAATAAGAAATATAATGGAGAAGTATAACAAAATAAAAAGCAACATCCCAAAAGTCATCCCAGTCCAAAACGGTTAATAATACAAAATTTAAATATATAAATTACTTGTATAAACAATGTACTACAGTTCACTATGAACTTGTAACTTCAGAAAGAAACAGCTTTCACCCACATAGTAGAACCTTCAACCTGCAGCAGCTGCAGAAACAGTTCAATAAAAGGTATCCCCAAGCAATTTTCCCACACATTCTCCATTATTTTTCCCCCAACAATCAACATAAAATAAGACCATAAAATTAGGAAAAATAGCATTTTCTTTCCAAATAGGATATTCTCCAAAAATATGAAAAAACAAGAACCTGATGTTTAAACTCACCTCGACAAGTTATCCCATCATCGTTGAGTTCATAGCCATCTTTACACCAGCACTGGTAGCCGCCATAGTAACGATTGAGACAGACTTGCTGGCAAAATACTTGGACATCATCACAACTTCCTGAATTTATCAAAAAAAAAAAAAAAAAAAGTTCACATGTATAAAATATTATATATGTGTAATGAGAAGCAATAAAGTTGGTAAAATGACATATTTAACCATAACAACATAATTCCTGGCAAATTTAGCAAAAAAGTATATTGGTTAATACCGTTAACCTTTTTATCTGTTCAAACTTTTCTCTTTTTTTTTATTTTTATTTTCTGTCTGTAATCCTTCTGTCACTGCTGATCCCACCTATCACCACTCAAACTGCATGCAATGAATTTTTTTGTGTAACCTGTGCCTAGGTATAATGTATTGAAGCTGTCAAACACGGTTCTTATTTTAGACATAGTACAGTGTTGATCACTATTAAATT